GGAAAGTAACTGGGCCTTGAGATGGCGAGCGGAGGGACCTCGGGCTGGGAGGCAGGGGACGCACATCTGAGTCCTGAGCCCCTCATCTGTTCCCGCGTGACCTGGGGGACGTCTGTCAACTTCTCAGGTTTCCTCATCTGTAAAATGGGCTTATCAGGGACACTGCCTTGCACGGTGGTGAGGGTTAAAATGAGGTGGAGAAATGGAAATGCCCAGCCTGGGGAGGTGGGCAGGGGTGCCCAGCCGTTTTAATTAAACGAGCGAGTTCACAGTTTGATGATGAGGACAGACAGGTAAACATCACTTCATTCCGCAGGGAATGAATTCCAGGAGGGGATTAAGCAGCCTCACAAAGGAGGTGACATCGAAGCCTCCCACTGAGGAGGAACGTCGTCCCCAGACAGAGAAGCAGAGGGTGGGGGTGGTGCCCCCTGGGACCGGGGTGCTCAGGGGCTGAACACGTGGGGGAGGGAGGGGCTTGCACCCCTTGTGCTACTCCTGCACTTGTAACAAAGATCTCAGCTCGAGGTCACAGAGGAAGAGCGTGGCCGGACAGGAGGGAAGAGGCCAGCTGGGAGGCTGCTGCGATGTCTGGTGAGGGGCCTGGGGGTCCACATTCGGGCAGAGGGCGTGCTGGGTACAGGGCTGGAGCACAGGAGGCGCTGAGGATAACTCGCTTTTCTGGTGTGGACAGCTTTTGTGGGGCAGTTCAGTAACCGCTGAGCTAGGAGACCCCTAACTCAGGACGAGGAAGTGAGCTGCTATTGGGGCGGGGCTGGAGGGGCAGGGGAAGCCATATGTCTGTCTGTAGTTGACTGGGCGTGCCCGTGGGACGCCTGTGTTGGGGGGCAGAGCTGGAGGGGCAGGGGTAGCCAAGTGTCTGTGGTTGACTGGAGGTGCCCGTGGGACACCCACATTTTGATAGGTCGGGTCGTGGCAGCTGGAGCTCCTTTTGTGAGCCTGATGCCACGTGGGCTCAGACTGCACTCAGGAGGGCTTCATGGAGCCCAGCCTCCTCCGACAGGGCGGTGGGGGGTGGGAGAGCCCGAGGCCTGCCCCCCCGCCCCGAGGGGCTTCACAGTGACATGGATCTGGTGGTCATGGGTGTACCCTGGAGGAGTCGGGGAAGAAGTCAAGGTGAGCCGGAAAGAGGCCGCAGGGGGACCTGGCAGGGGGACAGGCAGGGTGGATGCAGGAAGCTGCGCCCTGATCCTGGAGAGCATGGTCAGCTCCCGGGAGTGTGACTGGACGTGGGGGGTGGGGGTTGCTGTGTCCCTGCAGGACATCAGGGAGGTGGACATGCTCAGCCCAGTAGGGGGATGCCGGCGGGCCCCAGGCTGCACCCCAAGTCTCCCTAGGGCTCCCCAGCTCTGCTTGTTTCTCCCCTGGGAGATGCACTCCAGAAGGCAGGCGAGCTAGGCGTCCCCCACCTCCCTACCCCCTGGAAAACAGGGGATCGGTGTCCGAGGATGGAATGGCAGAAAGCAGTGCCCCTCAGGAGGCTGGGGTTTGCTTTCCGTGGTTCTAGCAGTAACTTTGCCCTGGGGCTGCAGAGGGTGGAGTGAGAGGCGTTTGAGCTCACCCTGGGGCTCCTGGGTGCAGACGGGTCAGTGGCGGGGGTGAGGAGAACAGGCTGGGATGTGACAGGCTGAGGACACCCACTTTGCTGGGACGCAGACATGCATGACCGGTAGGCGCCAAACATCCCCTGGAGGTAGAGGGAGCCCCCTTCTGTGTTTCCAGAGGAAGAGGAAAGTGGTCTGCTCATTCTGCACCCCCGACGGCACCTGCTGCGGGCGGGCGTGGAGCCTGTGGCTGTCCGTCCAGTGGGGCACCAGCCGCAGGCAGTGGGCAGGGGGCCAGCACAGTGCCGGGCTCCCCGGCTGAGCCAAACACGTCCAGTCAAAGGCTTCCCTTCAGTCAGTTGCTGGGTGTGGATCTTCTTTTCACGAAAGTGGACCATCTGGGTCAAGTGGGCAGCCTCCCCACCAGGTGGTCACCTACTAGGTGATCCCGGAGTGTGGCTCAGAGGGCACACTGCGGGGGGCGGCTGGGAGTCCGGCCAACACCCCGGACACCCGGTGCCTCTGTCTTCAGAGGGCTCTGCCCAGGATGCCCGAGGCCTCAAGTGTCCCCGTCAGAATCCTCAGAGGTGGGCTTGGTGTCCAGGCCAGGGCCAGGGGGGCCTACAGGTGGTGGGTGTGACCGGAGCTTCGGTCTTCTGGCTGAGGACTCCAGCCGTGGGCACCCGAGACCCTGGACCGTCCTAAACCTGTAGTGGTCGTAGGGAAAGGAGAAAGCGGTCAAGTTCACAGTCAGTTTCCAGGGGGGCCATGGCCTCACGCAGGCCACTGTGCAGGTGTGGACACTTGTGTGACCCTGCAGGCTCGCGCTGTCGGTTATTTTTCATGCTCTCAGAGCAGGACCCACGGGCTGTGGTTCCCTGAGCCATTAGTGCACCAAGGCAGGACTGCCGTCATCTGGGAAGCAGCTGTGGACGCGCCTTCCCGGTCATGCCACCACCCAGGCGCGGGCCGGCCCCACGGAGAAGCAGAGGGCAGGCGGGGGCACTGAAAGGCCCGGCGGAGCACGCGTGTTCACCGTGTGTGTGTCCGTGTGCAGAGCCCTTGGCGAGCGGGTGTGGACGCTCCCGTGTGACTCCCTCCTGCCCTGCGTCCAGCCTCTGGGCAGCCGCCTCCTTCTCTGTCTCTCCATCACTGTCCCTGAAAACGCGGCGTTGCCCGCCACATTCCCTCAGGGTCCAGCTCTGATAATGTGATAATGAGTGATTCTACTTAATGAGACACCCTCTCAGGTCGTATCAGTGCATTTTAATAGGGCCTTTCTGGAAATATCTTAACCCTAAATTTCCCAGGTAGTTGACTAAACACTAGCTGTTTCCACAAAAAAAAAAAAAAAAAGAAGAAGAAAGGAAAGAGAAAGAAGTAAAAGCATGCTGGTCAGGTCAGTTAAGAGGTGATTATGTCCCCTTGGGAACTGACAAGACCTGTCACACGGTGAAGGAGCTGAAATGTTAGGGTAAACAGCCGGGTTCCATCCAGGCGTTTGTATGCCCTCCATCCCTCCCGTTCCCTGGACAGCTGTCAGCAGCCTGAGCTTCTCCTGGGAAACACCACTTTCACCCTGAAAAGTCACCCTCTGTGCAACTTGGCCGGTAGCAGGCCGTTGGAGCACCTACTATAGGCCTTGTAAGGTTAGAAAGTTTTTTATTGTGTGAAAATATTAGTAACTTAGAAGTTACTATTTTAACCATTTTAGGGGCATGGCTCAGTGGTATCAAGTAAATTCACATTGTTATGCAGCCAAACCCACCATCCATCTCCAGATCGTTTCATCTTCCCAAATTGAAACTCTAAACCCATTAAACACCAACTTCTTTACCCGCCCCCCCTTTTAAACTTTTTATTTGTATTGGAGTATAGCTGAGTAACAGTGTTGTAATAGTTCCAGGTGGACCGCAAAAGGTCTCAGCCATACATATACACGTGTCCTTTCCCCCCAAAGCCCCCCGCCCCCATCCAGGCTACCACATAGTACTGAGCAGAGCGCCCTGAGTGGCACAGTAGGTCCTTGTTGGCAATCCATTTTAAATACAGCAGTGTAATAGCTGGCTTTCCACTCCTGCCTGTCCCCTGCGCCTGGAAACTGCTCTTCTCTGCCTGTCTCTGTGAGTAGGCCTCAGTACTCCCAGTGTCTTGGGTACGGGGACTCCTAAGTATTTGTCTTTTGTGGCTGGCTTAAAGCCTTCCCAGGTGACTCTGTGGTAAAGAATCTGCCTGTAATGCAGAAGATGGAGGTATGATCCCTGGATTGGGAAGATTCCCTGGAGAAGGAAACGCAACCCACTCCAGTATTCTTGCCTGAGAAATCCCATGGACAGAGGAGCTTGGCAGTCCACAGTCCACAGGGTTGCAAAAGAATTGGACACGACTTAGTGATGAAAACAAACATTATTACACTGAACATAACGCCGCTGATATAGTCCATATTGAAGCATGCATCAGAGTCTCCCTACTTTTAAGGCTGAGTAATGTCCCATTGTGTGTGTAAGCCTCATGTTGTCCACTCATTCAACCATCAGGGGACGTCCGTGTTGTCTCCCCCCTTTCAGCTCTTGTGAGCGATGCTTCTCTGTGTATCTGGGGCTCTTTGACCCCTGCCTGTGTCTCCCTTGGGGGTGGGGCCGGTGGTGCCATGTTGCTTCCTCCTTTTTTTAGTAAGAGACTAGAGTGTTTTGGAGAAGGAAATGGCAACCCACTCCAGTACTCTTGCCTGGAAAATCCCATAGATGGAGGAGCCTGGTAGGATATAGTCCATGGGGTCCCGAAGAGTCAGACACAACTGAGCGACTTCCCTTTCACTTTTCACTTTCATGTATTGGAGAAGGAAATGGCAACCCACTCCAGTGTTCTGCCTGGAGAATCCCAGGGATGGGGGAGCCTGGTGGGCTGCCATCTATGGGGTTGCACAGAGTCGGACACGACTAAAGCGACTTAGCAGCAGCAGCAGCAGCAGAAGAGTGTTTTATCAGTTACCATTGAAGCGGGTTTTTATTTACGGAAACCATAGAACCCTGTCCGTGGGGTATCTTCCCCTAAAAGTTGACAACCAGGTCTCCCCCAAGGGGAGGTCTGAGGGACCCGGTTGCTTACAGAGGGAAGAGTCTGCAGGTGGAGGAGCCAGGGTCCCTCTTCTCCCCACCCTTGTCTTCCCATCCAGCAATGATCACCAGACCGACATCTCTAAGAGGGCAGAGGCAGCCCTTCCGTTGAAATGTGTTCACTTAGGTGGGGTTTGGGGGCTTGCCTTGGTGGAAACCTGTTTCCACCGTGGCGCCGCGGCGGGTCGGTGTATATAGTGGGGGCGGCCTTGTAGCCTGGGCTGAGAAACGTCTTTTTAAAGATCGCGTGACTGCTGGGGAGGCCGCGTCCTCGGGGTGCCGCCACCTTCTCACTGTGTTTTCTTGCTCTCTCTCCTAGCTTATGTTCCTGAGGAAGAACTGAAGGCAGCAGTGATAGATGAGGGGAACGTGGAGGAGGATGGGCTGCCCGGGGAAGTTCCGGAGGCCGACTTCGCGTGCAGCGAGGAGGCGGAGATCAAGGAGGCCCAGAGCTACCAGAACTCCCCCATCAGCAGCGCGACCAACCAGGACGCGGGCTACGGCTCACCCTTCAGCGAACACAGCGACCAGCCCGCGCACTTCAAAAGCTCCTCCTCCAAGGAGGAGAAGGAGGAGCGCCAGGGCGCCGAGGGCGTCTCCTACCCCCAGGACAGCTTGGCTCAGATCAAGGCCGTGTATGCAAACCTCTTCTCCGAGTCCTGCTGGTCCAGCTTGGCCCTGGACTTGAAGAAGTCGGCCTCGACCACGAGCACCAGCGATGCGGCCCCGAAGGAGGGCTCCACCCCCGCCCCGACGCCCCCCGCCAGCACCGCGGGGGCTGCGGGCACCACGGCGAGCACCCCCAGCTCGGGCTCGGGCGCCAGCGGCGGCTCGGGCTACGACTGGCACCAGGCCGCCCTGGCCAAGACGCTGCAGCAGACGTCGTCATACGGCCTGCTGCCGGAGCCCAGCCTCTTCAGCACCGTGCAGCTTTACCGCCAGAACAACAAGCTCTACGGCTCGGTGTTCACCGGCGCCAGCAAGTTCCGCTGCAAGGACTGCAGCGCCGCCTACGACACGCTGGTGGAGCTGACGGTGCACATGAACGAGACGGGGCACTACCGCGACGACAACAGGGACAAGGACTCGGAGAAGACCAAGCGGTGGTCCAAGCCCCGGAAGCGCTCGCTGATGGAGATGGAGGGCAAGGAGGACGCCCAGAAGGTGCTCAAGTGCATGTACTGCGGGCACTCGTTCGAGTCCCTGCAGGACCTCAGCGTGCACATGATCAAGACGAAGCATTACCAGAAAGTGCCTCTCAAGGAGCCCGTGCCGGCCCTCACCAAGCTGGTCCCCTCCACCAAAAAGCGGGCGCTGCACGAACTGGCGGCCCCCGGCTCCCCCGAGCCGGCGGGCGCAGCGGCGGAGGCGGCGCTGAGCGAGGCGGCCAAGGAGCAGAAGACGGCCAACCCCTACGTCACGCCCAACAACCGCTACGGCTACCAGAACGGGGCCAGCTATACCTGGCAGTTCGAGGCCCGCAAGGCCCAGATCCTCAAGTGCATGGAGTGCGGCAGCTCCCACGACACTCTGCAGCAGCTCACCGCGCACATGATGGTCACCGGGCACTTCCTGAAGGTGACCACCTCCGCCTCCAAGAAGGGGAAGCAGCTGGTGCTGGACCCCGTGGTGGAGGAGAAGATCCAGTCCATCCCCCTGCCGCCGACCACGCACACCCGGCTTCCCGCCGCCGCCGCCGCCGCCGCCCACGTCAAGAAGCAGCCCGACTCTCCAGCGGGCGCCGCCGCCCCCGCCGCCGGGGAGGAGAAGAGAGAGCCCGAGAAGGACCAGGCGACCCTGGCGCCCGGGGAGGCGGACAAGAAGATCAAGGAGGAGGGCGAGGACGCGGGCGAGAAGTTCGAACCCACCACCCTCTACCAGTACCTCCGCGAGGAGGACTTGGACGACAGCGCCAAGGGTGGTGTGGACATCCTCAAGTCCCTGGAGAACACGGTCTCCACGGCCATCAGCAAAGCCCAGAACGGCGCGCCTTCGTGGGGCGGCTACCCGAGCATCCACGCCGCCTACCAGCTGCCAGGCACCGTGAAGCCGCCGCCAGCGGTGCAGAGCGTGCAGATGCAGCCGTCCTTCGCCGGCGGCGTGAAGACGCTGTCCGTGGAGCACGGTGCGCTCCTGCACTCCCCGGGGAGCCTCACGCCGCCGCCCCACAAGAGCAACGTGTCGGCCATGGAGGAGCTGGTGGAGAAGGTCACGGGCAAGGTCAGCGTGAAGAAGGAGGAGAGGCCGGCCGAGAAGGAGAAGGGCTCGCCGGCCAAAGCTGCGTCCCCGGCGGCCAAGGAGAATAAGGACTTCCCCAGGGCCGAGGAGCTGGGGGGCAGTGGCAAGCCCCAGCCCAAGAAGGGCCCTGAGGCCGATGGGGGGAAGGCTAAGAAGGAGGGTGCGGGGGATGCCCACACCCCAAATGGCACGGAGCCCCTCAAGGCCAAAGTGACCAACGGCTGTAACAACCTGGCCATCATCACAGACCACTCGCCTGAGCCCTCCTTCATCAACCCTCTGAGTGCCCTGCAGTCCATCATGAACACCCACCTGGGCAAGGTGTCCAGGCCCGTGAGCCCCTCGCTGGACCCTCTGGCCATGCTCTACAAGATCAGCACCAGCATGCTGGACAAGCCGGCCTACCCCGCCCCGCCCACCAAGCCGCCCGGCGCTGCTGACCGCTACTTCTATGAGAATAGCGACCAGCCCATCGACCTGACCAAGTCCAAGAGCAAGCCCCTGGTGTCCGGTGCCGCTGATGGTGTGTCCTCACCACTCCGGGAGAGTGCGCTCATGGACATATCCGACATGGTGAAGAACCTCACGGGCCGGCTGACGCCCAAGTCCTCCACGCCCTCCACCGTGTCTGAGAAGTCAGATGCTGATGGCAGCAGCTTTGAGGAGGCGCTCGACGAGCTGTCACCGGTCCACAAGCGGAAGGGGCGGCAGTCCAACTGGAACCCACAGCACCTGCTCATCCTGCAGGCCCAGTTTGCCTCGAGCCTGCGTGAGACGGCGGAGGGGAAGTACATCATGTCGGACCTGGGCCCCCAGGAGCGGGTCCACATCTCCAAATTCACTGGGCTGTCCATGACCACCATCAGCCACTGGCTGGCCAACGTCAAGTACCAGCTTCGGAGGACAGGGGGGACCAAGTTCCTGAAGAACCTGGACACAGGGCATCCTGTTTTCTTTTGCAACGATTGTGCCTCTCAGTTCAGAACTGCTTCCACGTACATCAATCACCTAGAGACACACTTAGGCTTCAGCTTGAAGGATCTCTCCAAGCTGCCCCTAAACCAGATTCAAGAACAGCAGAATGTTTCCAAAGTCCTGGCGAGCAAAGCCTTGGGCCCTTCGGGGGCCGCCGAGGACGAGCTGGGCTCCACATTCCAGTGCAAGCTGTGCAACCGGACTTTCGCGAGCAAGCACGCAGTCAAACTGCACCTCAGCAAGACCCACGGCAAGTCCCCCGAGGACCACCTGATCTACGTGACCGAGCTGGAGAAACAGTAGCCCCGGGCCCGCGCCCGCGGCGCATTGCACTAACGTCGTACTGCACTAGGCCCGGCCTGAGCCTCCGAAATCAGCCCGCCCTCGGTTGCCGACCGCCTGTCTGGACCTTGGTTTTTCTTACACATATTTTGTAGTTATATTTATATGCTCTTCGTCCGATCGTGCATGTTCCTTTTCTTTTTCCGTGAGTCAGAGTCTGACCTTTATTTTCAACATCTGTTCTCGATGTTCAGCTCTCTTTTGTAGGAGATAGTGGGGCACACTCCTCGGAGACACTTACTTAGCAGGAAAGAAAGACACAAATAACAATGATAGACGTCGTCCTAAAATTACGAGTTGCCATGACAATAAAGGTCAGAGAACCTCCTAGTGTCAAATTTAACCCTTTGAGGACTGTAATCGCATTTCTGTGCCTTTCATTCAAAAAAGAAAAAAAAAAGGCTTAAAGGCATTTCATTCAGATCAAAAGCTGTGTCAGACACAAAACTTATTTAATAATTAAAAAACGAGCTTTTATATGCAGAACTGGTTTGTGAAGGAAGCATGCATGCAGCTGTTGGAGAGCAGAAAGTTGTTTAAGACGTGGGGGTTAGGAAGCCACAACGTCATATGTTTAAAACAGAAAACATAACAAAAACTAACAACAAAAACAGCAGACACCCCAGTTGCCACTATGCCCAAACCCTCTGGATGCCGAAAAATGCCAATTTTGGCAAAAAAAAAAGTATGCAAGTTATTATTTAAAAATGTGTAAAAATGCTATTTCTTTTTTTCCTGTAAAATACTGCGGTTTATAGTTATTTACAAATGTAAGCTTTGGTACAAGCCGACCTTTCTATAAGCGTGCTGCATTGGTAAATGAAAAAAAAAATGGGGCAAATGTTGGCATCCTTTCCTTGTAAATTGCCAGCATCAGCTTAAAAACTCCTATATGTTACATATCGTACCATTTTAATCTATTCAACTTTCTTTGTACCTTCTGGCTGTATGCTTTCTCTTTTAACTTTTTATATTGTCATTTTATATTAAATTTCTGTGTATATAATGTAAAACCACAATTTTTGAATAAAATTTAGTTCCTGCAGCTTGATTTAAATAGAGAAATTTTACTGGCACCTGCGTCTTTCCAGATGCATGTATATCAGACAAAAATAAATAAATGAAGACAAAGCAAGCGATGCACTATTAATTATACATTTTGATGTTCTATCATTAATATTGTACAGTACATTTTGGTTCACACAATTAAATCCACTGTTTTCTCAAATGTAAAATAAACCCACATGCAGTTCTTGATTTACATAGATTGTCATGTCGTCATTATTCTGCCTCTGAGACGTTATTCCAGCAATGAGAGGTATTGCTTATGCAGTCGACCAACAGAAATTCTATTCAGAACCATCGTTTCATGATGTGTGTGCTGACACGCTTATTCAGATGATAAGTACTCCTTTTTTTTTTAAATGATAATTAAAATTTTTAACTCCACTGGGTGCCACTGGATTCCAGAGTATAGTCGTTGAGCGACGGCTGGTTTGTACATCGAGGGACCCGAGGTGCTTCTTGGGAGAATCCTCCCGCCCTGTTTTGAAATGTTTACAGTCATCTTTTGTGTGTATCTGGGGACCTAATGGCAGGTCTTGTTTTAACAGCAGACCCTGGGGGCCTTGAAATTGGTTCTGCATTGTTCAAAAGAGGAAAGGCTGGTTTCCGCACTTTTAAAAACATACAATTTTGAGACTTTCCTGGCGGTCCAGTGGCTAAGACTTTGCCTTTCAATGCAGGGGGTGCTGGTTCAATCCCTGGTTGGGGAACTGAGATCTCACATGCCTCTAGTGGCCAAAAATCCAAAACATAAAAAGCAAAATTATAACAAATTCAACACACTTTAAAAATGATTCACATTAAAAAAAAATCTCTCAAAAAAGATACAATTTTAATAAAATGCACTGCTCTCCCTCATCCAGGACTTGAGACCGGCCTTCCTTGGTCAGGTTGCTCAAGAGCATGGCGATGAGGGGAGGGGTATTTTGGGGGAGACCACCGGGACTCCGGTCTGTTACCTCCACCTCCTCTGTGGGTGAGGATCCTGTGCTGGACTCAATGGACATTCGCCCAAGGTCACGGGGCCCACCATTGACCGAACTTGGGCCTGAGCCCACAAGGCTCTGCCCCAGGGGCCATGCTCTTAATCACCCCCGTCACGCGCTCTGTGAGCTGCCCCCCGGGGGAGGACAGGCACCCGGGGAGGGTCTGTGGTCTCTAGCAGCCGCACGGAGCGGATGAGTCTTCTTCCAGTTACTGCCACTGCAGCCCCAGATCCAGGTGCAAAACAGGCCAGCTCTATCTTCTGTTGGGTCTAAAATAAATGCAGTGATGTTGGTTAAGTGTGTAGTATCCTCTACTAGTAATACAGAAACTTGGTTCCTGTGAGTACAGGTGGAAACATCCAGAGGACCCGTTGGCTGCCTTTTGTGTGAGGATTTACTTACACAGGTTTCTGCTTCCTTCATCAGTGTTTGAAGAGATGCAGGCCTGGCCTTCTTCCTCTGGTCTTGTGTGTCCCTGAACGGACCCCACAGGTGGCACTGCGTGCTCTCAGGGGAGCCCCCCCTTTCTCCCAGAGGAGCAGGCTGTCTCTTCTGGAGCCCGAGGGTAAATGGCCCTGAGGGTCTGGCATGAGCTGGCCACAGACCCCCCTGTAGGAGGCTGGTGGGCCTGGTGGGGACAGGGGTCCTGCTAACTTTGTATACACTCAAACATCACCCTATTTTGCATTTATATTTGCAGCTTGAGCCTCATGTTTAGTAAGGAACCAAACAATTTTTCCCTTTCAACGTGGATTTTTAAAAAGTTTGAGGTATGCCTCTGAATGTGGATTGGGTCTGGATGTTTGTTGTTATTTAGTCGATATTTGAAAGATATAAAGCCTATAAAATAATGATGACGCTAGTTGATGTAAGAGAAACAAACTTTGAGGCATGTTTGCAAAAAGAAGGGATTAAAAACTTTCAAGATTTATGTTCCTCCATTTCTATGTTGGGTAATCTTCAAAAAGCTTTGAAACATTTGAAAGCCTGTCTAAATGACTTCTGAAGTTTCAGAAACCTGTGCCTACAAATAAAGGTTTCTGCTTTTTTCCAAGGTAGAATTTCTGTTACTTATTGTTATTTTCCTGAAGGTGGTGGAAACCATTAAAAGCCAGTTATTGAATTGTAAAATTAAAAAATACTGAAGAGTAAGATTTGGAGAGCATTTATAATTTTCCCATACCTTTTATAGTAAAAGTAATACATAGCCTTTGCAGAAAACTTGTAACACAAAAAAACAAAATAAAGAAGGAAATAAAAATTAACTAATGTTTTCATCTAGAGAAAAATCATTTAATATTTTAGTGCTAGCATCTTTTTTTAATTTGCTACAAAACAAATGCACAACATACTTTTGTACTTGCTTTTTCTGTTAGTAGATAATGTGTATGTTCCCATTTCATTAAATATCAAAAATTTTTAATCTTACTGAGATGTATTATAATTTACTAATTAATTCTCTACTAGTTAGAATTTTGAAAAGCAGCATTTAGATTCTTTTCAAGTTTTCAGTGTTACAAATGAGTACAGAAGCAATATTTCACTTAATATTCCCATGCATATTTCTGATTATTTCCTAAGAATAAATACTGTGGACTTAAAAAAGTATTTACAACCTGAAAGTTGAGAATTATGCTTGATTCAGTGGGAATTCTTCAAGCTGGGAAGGCAGCATTTCAAGTGACCCTGAGAGCACTGCTCTAGGAGGTGCGGACGGAGCCCAGTTGTATGGAAGTTTTGCAACAAAGGGCAGATAGTCTGGACATCAAGATAATATTGTTAATTAAAGAAAACCAGATATCCTAAGTTAAAGAATTTAGTGCTTTTCTGTGTATGGGAAGATGCAAGAGCCCGGGCTCTGTGAAATCAATCCTTTGAGATGCACCTCAGCTACCTGGGGCCAGCGTCCCGTGTTCTCAGGTCCTGAGTCTCCCCGGGGCTCGCCTTAGGGAAGGGGCTGCAGTCTGACGGCTGCTGGAGGGCAGGTATTATTCCTTCCTTCCTGAGTGCCCTCCCCAGCTCACCATAGCGGGTAGCTGTGATCAGGGATGACTGTGACCTCCTTGTTGCAGGAAATAGTCCATTTCTCACTCCCTAAAGCTGAAATTTCTGCCTCATCCCGTGACTGGATACCTGTGCCCAAATCACTGATGAGAAAGCCTGTACCACCACAGCCACTGGGCCTCAGCGGAGAGCCACCATTTCTGTCCACCTTTGCTTCTTGAACATCCGGATTTTTTTTTTTTTTTTAATTTCTGGCTGTATTCACTAATTAGCCAATGTAATATTGACGTTTTAATAATATGCTTATTGTCCATTGATGTTATTTAAAGAAAAGATGGCTTAAGGACTTGTATGATTTTTTGGAAGACTTTCATGTGGATCGTGAGCTCGTTTCAACTTGGTGGCCGATCTGCGTATTTTACAGAAAACACACAACAGAGAGGTGAGAAAGGAGCTGCGGAAGGTCTGCGGCTCCTCGGTGGCTCCAGCACAAGAGAGAACGAGGCAGTGTGTTTTCTCGTCCAGTTCTCCTATGATAGACGGCTCGTGAAAACGCACCCAAAGACGTCAAGAATATCATGTACCAGCGCTGTCTTTAAATTGCCTGACTTGGAATAGGGAGAAAAATTCCAAATTCTAGGATTTCTAGGACTGACAATGAGTATTTCTTAGGCAAACAAACTCAGAAAAAAAGTGGACTGCCCTAAGGAGATGAGAGGTGGTCACCTAGAGGGCCTTTAGACTTCCCTGGTAGTTCAGCTGGTAAAGAATCCACCTGTAATGCAGGAGACCCTGGTTCGATTCCTGGGTTGGGCAGATCCCCTGGAGAAGGGATAGGCTACCCACTCCAGTATTCTTAGGCTTCCGTGATGGCTCAGATGGTGAAGAATCAGCCCGCAATGCAGG